GCTGTGGCAGTGCAGTTTGTGCCGGAGTAAACCGGCGTTCCCTCTGAGACAGGTGTCTGCGAGGATCGCTTGGCGATCCATTTGGCAGACCCTTGTCCCTTGCGCTCGATCTCCGGCTTGGCCTTGCTCGATTACGAGGGAGCGGGTTCCCCCGACGAGACTCGGGTGGAACCTTCAGGCGCGGAGGCTTTGACTGTTTGAGGTCGGCTTCGGCGCACGACTCTGTGGCGTTTGCGGGACGCATCGCCACCAGAGGATGAGGAAGACAAGTACTCTTCGTACTTGGCCTGGTCGAACTCAATCTCCAGGGACTCTACGGTCGTCCCAACAGCAACTTTATCAAATTGAGCCACCACCATTTCGTTCGATGAAACAGCTCCTCCCACTGTGGTCGCCATCCTCTGTATGGTGTAAATTTGATTTCCCAAAAACAGGGAGTTTCGTTTGTATTGATAAGAAAGCTTATTACAAACTAATAATCAAATATTTACAACAGAAGCAGAGGGAATGCCCTCTTTGTTTTGTGTGGGGTCTTTAGGTGGCTATAGGACGCTTCGCTCGATGCTTGTGTCGAGTCTGCTTCCCTTGGACCGTTCGATCGAGGTTGCTGGAGAGCTTCAGTACCACCAATTTTTTTTAACTTTAGGTGGTAGTTTATGGTTAGAATATTTTAGGTTTTCCTATTAAAAACTCAGCAAGGATCGTCTCTTGTCCGCTATCAGCTAACCCAGGCCAAGTGGTACTTAATGCAAGGATTATGCCGAACACTTGGTCCAACTGCTTCTCCAAGTTATTCACCTCCCTCAAAGCTGTCGGATATGCTTAAATGAAGAAGGACAGCGTTGACTCCCTTGACTTTGATTACGCAACATTGTCGGAGCTATCCTATGCCCATTCTACCACCAGTACATTCGAAGAGCTGCTCAAATCCTCACGTAGGATACAAGCCCTCCTCTTATCGTGACAACGCCGAGCTTACGGACTGACAACCAACGAGCGCGCGCTCTTGCCCGTTGTGCCCACAGCCTGAAGGTGAGTCGCATATCGAGAATGCAAGGCTTATGTTTGACATCTGTCTGCTCACTTTACTGTGGCGATGTTCGGGCGGATCCTATTTCTCTCTTCAGGTCATAGAGCACGGGAAAACATATCCTCAACCTCATGTGACCAGCTCCCGAATTGCTGCGACTCGTCTCCTGACTCAGACAGCCGAGGTGAGTTACATTTATGAATGCTCAGGTCAACTCGACACCTGTCCAGTCCTTCGCACTGTGAACGGCCGCTTGACGGTCTTGGGGTACTGCGCCCCCTCTCTTCGGGTCAAGAGAGGTAGGAAGGCCCATCTCAGCACGTGGGGTAGCAGGTATCTGGCCATATTGGTGGCCTCGGGGTTTGCGGGCGGATTCGACCTTGGACTCGGGCAGGCGAGTTGTGTCCTTGGCGAAATTCCGCTATCCCAGTTGTTCTGGCTCGTACAGGTGAGTTGATCATTCGGGTGAATTTCCTGCAAGCACACGGAGGTATTTTTTTACCATCTACAGCCGAATTGCTGATTGCCGTCACACAACCTGCCCAACTATCCGGCAACTGCGATAGTAGTAGAAGGGCCTGCACTTTGTCATCGAACGTGATGTCCACGGAGATAAGTTGATCAACAATCGTGTTGAACTCGCTGAGGTGCATCGTGAAGGACCGTCCTTCTGCCATCTTGAGGTTGAAAAGAGTTTTGACTAGATGCACCTTGTTTGCTGCCGACGGTTGCTCGTACATCTTCGCGAGCGCTTCCATAAGCCCCACCGTCGTCTTCTCCTTCAGAATATTGTGGGCTACTGATTTGGCGAGCGCCAACCGGATTTGCCCTGGAGCCTTCCTATCCAGTACCTCCCAATCACCATCTGACTCCTCTTTCTTCTTTCCCTTTTCCTTGCCCATCAGCGGGCGATACAAGTCCTTCTGGTACAGATAGTCCTCCATCTGTGACTTCCAGTAGGTGAAATCCGATCCATCGAACTTCTCAATCTTTGATTTGCTTTCCTCTGCCGTGGCTTTCACACAAATTGCTGAACGAAGCTCTGATACCAGTTGTTGGGGATTCGAAATAATCAATCGAACCCTTGTCCTTCCGGACCTTGTGTTGAAAGTAAGAAAGTAGGAATAAAACCACAATTAAAGATCTAACTTGCAGAAAACAGTAAGGGAGATGAACACACAGATTTAACGAGGTTCGGCAACGTGCCTACGTCCTCGGAAGCCACACCACACAATCTCTTTATTAATTGAAGAAGAAAATACAAGCTCTCAAACAAGGGGTTAATCTCTCTGAGATTCTCTCTCTCTTTGCAGTCAAAAAGCTCTCTTTTTGATGTAGTACAAACCCTAAAATCGTTTGGGGTATATATAGAATGCTGGTTGAAACAGAATCCCAAACGGAACAGAAAACAGTCAAAACTACGTCCGGTCGACCGACCCGGTCGACCGAACAGACTCCAGAGAGTTTAGCGGTCGACCGGCGCGGTTGACCGATGCAAAACCCGAGAGCAGTTTCTCCTACAGGGTTTTAGCGGTCGACCGGGCCGGTCCGTTCGCGGTCGACCGACCCGGTCGACCGCAGTTCTGTTTGCTCGTTTTCTCGTCCTTTTGATTCCAGCTTTCATCTCGAACTTTGGGTCTACACCTTAGACTAACAGTCCGTGGGGCTACTTTCGACACCATGCATTGCAAGTACTGTAGTGTAGCATCTTGAAGGATTGTGGTGAAGAGAAAGCATTGAGATTCAATATGCAACTTCATTGTGTTTGTAGCTAAAGGGATGTTTGAAGAAGTAGTTATTTAGGAGCTCTTTGGCAACAATTTATGTGAAATGTGAAGAGATTTTGATGCTAGATTGGTTTCCAGTCTCATGCCAAGGAGAAATACAGTCACATAGAGTTTGATGATATCTGGCTATGTATAAATTAATGGTCAAGGAGAAGGTGAAAATATCTCTATCCCAGTGGATCAAGAGGCTTATATCTACAAACATCAATGGAAATAAAAGTTAAAGGCTTCTTAGAAGAGAATGGTAAAACTTCTTTTTTATCTTTTGATAAATTTACCCATGTCCAAGTTAAAGATAATAGGTACAGGTTAAAGGAGAAGACAGAACTAAAAGTCGGGGGGCTTTGTTGTAAAGAAGAAAAAGTTATGGGCTTCTTAGAAAAATATGGTAAAACTTAGGGGCTTTTTAGATATCATCTCGTATATAAGTGCTACCGAAGCAAGTAAGAATATATAAGTGAAAGTATTAAAAACTTGTCGTTTGGCAAGAGGTTAAGAGAAAAGAGTTAAGAGGAATGATTGACTTAGTTACCCTTCGCGAGAGGTTAAAAATAATTTAATTCCTTAGATGTGATGGTCAAGGTGAAGGCTTACGGTTTCTTTTCTTTTCTTTTTTAATAAAGTGGTTAGTTGCCATATGTGTGTATTAAGTTTCACATTTTATTTCCCAAGGGAGTAATTCTTAACCATCTTTTTTAGACAGATTTGTTAACTAACTTTAACCTTAATACTTTACAAGGGTTAAAGCCCTTTAGATGGTTAAGAATGGGTTAAACCCCTTAACTCTTCTATTAACCTCTTGCCAAATGGGGAAGTGCTGTCAAAAACAAATAAGGACATATAAATGAAAAATAGGAGAAACTATAGGTTATTTAAGTACAATTAAGCCATTTTGATTAGGGATATTAGACTACCATCACTTCATTTGGCTAATCGTCACCTGATCAGAAAACTAAGATTCATACGTTTTTATTTGACTAACTGTGATGGACTCATTTAATTTATACTCCCATCTCTGTTCATACACAAACTTATTAAATAATTTGGTATGGAACTTGCGTATTAACCTTCCCTATAATGTTTCAAGCAAAAAAAATTAGCTAGTAAATTGAAAATGAAGGTTTATATTTTTAAAATTCAATTTACAGAAATTTCCATGTAATATCGACATGCTAAAAGCCTAGAATTCACTAGAATTCACCAGTGACGAACTCAGAATATTGAGAAAGTGGTATCACTATATTTATAATTAACAATTAAAAATTTACAATTGTGCTCTATCATGTTTTATATTTGCAAAAGTACGTAATTGTATATTAGTAACACTATCAAAATCAAATACATCTTTCTTAATATATAATGTCAGTAAGCAATCATTGAGTCAGTCATCATTCATTTTATTCTTTAACGTAACCTTTATCAACTTCATTGCATAAAAAACTCTTTTGGCGAATTAACCCATATAGAATCGGGAGGCGCTACAGGCACACCCTCAGGCACACTATCAACCACACCCCCTCTCTATCTACAATGCAGGGGGCCTCACATCAGATTTTTTTCAAAAAAATCTGATGTGGGACCCCCTGCACTGTAGATAGAGAGGAGGTGTGGTTGGTGGTGTGGCTGAGGGTGTGCATGTATCATTTTTCTATAGAATCAGCAACGTCTATAAAACAAAACACAAAAAATAGTTTCAAATGATGAAGTTTAAATGTGTGGGCTCTTATAATTTCTTGACCAAAGTGGATCATGTGACCCACATTGGTATATATGGATACACCAACGGAATCCACGTGTTCTTTACAACACTTATATATTCTGAATTTATAAAATTTGCACTTTAATGTTTAAAAATAGTCTCCCGAAAATCTCACATCATAAGCCATTCTGATTTTAAAAAAAGGTTAATCGTGAATAGACTCGTTACGGTGTCATCCAATCGCGAATAGACTCCCTACAATTCTATTTGAGATGAATAGACCCCTTGTCGTATTGGCTCAAGTGTGATTACACTTCCTTAGTCAACTTTTTTGATTCTTTTAAAAGTAAAAAAACTAGCTAATAATTAGAAAGAATATTCTATATTTCTTTTATCTGATGTTTTTTTTTTTTTTGAAGGAAAAACAAAGGATAAACCCTGTTCAATTAAAACTAAAAATATTTGTTACAAAAGCTTTGGACACGAAGTGTATCCATATGTTAGATAACAGTAGATTTAGTTCCTTGTGATTAGGGATGTATAACTTTCTTCTTCCAAAGATCCATGAAGATGAAGAGAGGACCTTGTCGTCATTCACCGTTGACACAGATTTAAGGAAGAACCAAAGCCAGCCATACATATAATCAAAAGTAACTAAACTACTGATGTCTAACAAATAACAAAAAATCAAAAGGTAACAAGGATTATTTACAAGAAAACATAATTCCAAAGTCCACCAAAGCAAACTATCAAAACAATCATCCTGCATTACTCCTAGGTAGAGGATTGGCTTCAAGCATGTAGAGGATTGGCTTCAAGCATGGCCAAGACTTGTTCAGCTTTAGCTCCTGATTTAGCAACTGACCAATCATAAATTCCAGAAATTGCAGAATTAATTATAGTGAGATGAGAGAAATGTACTTGTTCAAAAAGAAATCTGTTCCTTGCAGTCCAAATACTCCAACATACTGAAGAAAAAATGATACGCCACATACATCCTGTAGTACTTTGAAGGTTCTCTAAGATATAAATAAGGTCAACAAGAGAGGAAGGCCATTGAAATGGTAATGGAATTTTTTTGAAATGACTCCACACTTGTAATGATAAAGGGCATAAGAAGAACAGATGATCTCGAGATTCAGTTTGTTGTCTACAAAAAGAACACACAGAATCACCTTGCCAGCCTTTCTTCATAATAATCTCCTTTGTTTGCAATCTATTAAGACATAGAAGCCATGTAAAAACCTTGATCTTGCTAGGCAAGATAGGATTCCAAGTAAGATTGTAGAATGAAGATCTAATACCTCTCGAGACTAGGAATTTATAAAAAGAGTTGACAGTGAAAATTCCATTAGATGTGAGGGACCAGGTTGGATGATCATGTTGATTTGATATGTTAAGCATACCTAGCAGCTGTATAAACTTAACTCTATCAGAATGGGAGGTAGGTGATAAACTCCTTCTCAACACAGGTCGCCATTGCCATTTATTATTTTGAAGGAAACCCTGACTTCTCACGGATATATTAGAAGAAAAAGAAAGCTTATGAATAGAAGGAAAAAGACTAGCTAGAGAATTATGTCCTAGCCACTTATCCTCCCAGAATCTAATTTTGTCTCCAGATCCAAGATGCCAAAAAATATGATGAAGAAAATCCTCTTTATGAGCTATGATGTCATTCCAAAAAACTGAATTTGATGATTTTGGACGTAAGGTCTGTAGAAAGGAATCTCTGTTGATATATAGGTGATGAAGAAAAGACCCTACAAAAGAATCTCTATCCAAGCACTTCCACAACCATTTAGATAAAAGAGAGTTATTGAAGATGTTAATGTCCTTTACTCCCAAACCTCCTTCAATTTTGCTTGAACATACCTTTTTCCAATTAACTAGGCATTTAAAGCTTTTAGTTTCAATCTTTCCTGTCCATAAGAAGTTCTTTCTGATTTTGTCTATTTCATTGATCACCCATTTAGGCAACTTATAAAAAGACATATAATAAAGCGGTATAGATGTAAGGACGGAGTTCAAAAGGACCAATCTCCCACCAAAAGAAAGATAATTCCTTTTTCATGATGCTAGTCTTCTATGAAGGTTATCTACAACTGGTTGCCAATCAGATTTTGATAATTTCCCACATTTTAAAGGTAGACCAAGGTATTTGATTGGCAGAGAACCCACTTTACAATTAATAACCAAAGCTAGATCAATTCCTCTTTGGGTATTTCTACCAAAATGAATCAAAGAAGACTTTGAATAATTGATACCCAATCCTGATAGTTCTTCAAAGATATAAAGAATGGTTTTCAGTACTGATATATCTTTGGAGGAGCTTTTAACAAAAAGAATGGTGTCATCTGCAAATTGTAGACTCCTTATATGATTGAGAGGTTCCTTAATACCAAGAGTAGATAAAGTACCATCTTCCGCATTATTCATAATCATCCTGTTTAGAACATCAACTGATATGTTGAAAAGCATAGGTGATAAAGGATCACCCTGTTTAAGACCCCTCTTGCAGTTAAAAAAATTTGTAGGATGACCATTAACTAGAACTGCACAATTAGATGATGAGATAATGTGATAAATCCATGAGCACCATTTGGCACCAAACCCTCTTGCTTGAAGCAGATCAATGATAAAGGACCAATCAACAGAATCAAAAGCTTTTGCGAAATCAATTTTCAACATTGAAACATCTTTTTTCCTTTTGGAACAAAAATGAATAAATTCATTGGCTATAAGGCTCGAGTCCAAAGTAGATTTCCCTGATTGAAAAGAAAATTGTGTAGGAGAAACCAAAGAGGACATAAGAGGGGAAAATCTGTTAGCGAGGATTTTAGTGAAGATTTTGAATAAACAGTTTATTAAACTGATAGGCCTGAAATCCTTCATCAAAGAGCTATCCTTAAGCTTTGGAATAAGAGTAATGTATACCTTATTAACTCTGTGGAGAGAAGATGGATCTTGATGAAAAGAGTTCATGATAGAGATGAGATCAATTTTGATAACATTCCAGAAGCTCTGATAAAAAAGCATAGAGAATCCATCTGGACCTGGAACTTTGTTGGGATTCATACTGAAGACAGCATTATATATTTCTGATTCGGAAAAAGGATTTTCCAAAGATGGGAGATGAGGCTCTTGATCAGGATATAAATAAGACCAGTCAATAGAAAAGTGCCTAGAATTGGCTTGACCAAAGAGATTATAGTAGTAATCCTGAAAAGCTTGTCTGATATCTTGATTATCAGTGAGAACTTGTCCTTGATGTATGATATTAGTAATATAATTGGACTTCTTATGGAAAGAGGCTGTTTTGTGAAAGAAAGAGGTATTATTATCACCTTCTTTTAGCCATTGAATCCTAGACCTCTGTTGCCAATAGGATTCCTCCTCTTGAATAAGAGATGTATACAATGATTGCAGACTCTTTCTATCATTGTATTCTGATATGGACAAAGATCTTGTTTCTTCCAACAAATCCAAAGAATTTATCTTTGATAGCAAATCAGATTTTCTTTGAGATATGGAACCAAGGACATTTTTCTTCCACCATTTTATTCTCCTCTTTAAAAGCTTAAGTTTCATGATGAAAATATCAACAGGAGAGCCTTTACACTGAAAGGAGTTCCATGATTGGGTGATGAAAGGTATGAAGTCCTTATTATGAAACCAACTTTTATCAAATCTGAATAAATGAATATTGTATTGGATACCCTTACTGTCCAAAATAATAGGGAAATGATCTGACCCTATAGATGGTGGTGAATATTGCAAGCAAGACGGGAATTTTCTTTCCCAATCTGGACAGACTAAGAATCTGTCTAATTTTGCCATAGATGGAAAAGAACGTTTATTTGACCATGTGAAGGTTCTACCACAAAGAGGTAGGTCGATAAGAGAAGAAGATGAGACAAAATGTCTGAAAGAATTAATGTCTCTTAAAGAACCAGTACCTCCATTTCTTTCATCAGTAGATAAAGTAGAATTAAAATCTCCACATAAAACCCATGGACCTGGAAGAATGTGACATATCCTGCTAAGTTCCCACCAACATACTTCTTTATCTTCCCTATCAATAGGAGCATAAACAGAGGTGAAGGTGAAGTTCCAATTTGATGGCTTATGATGCAGGAAAATAGAAACTGAAAAGATACCCACATGAGATTTGATGAGAGCAAAGTCATTTGACCATCCAACTAAAACCCCTCCTCTAGAATCATCAGAATCAAGACATGACCAATTTGAAATCCTCTTACCTCCTATTGCTTGCAATTTCCTTTCTGACGGTTTATAAAGCTTGCTTTCTTGAATTCCTATAATATCAATGGATGATGAGATAATAAAATCTCTAACCATACGTCTTTTTACAGGGTCATTAAGACCCCTAACATTCCAAGTAGAGAGCTTCATGGATAAACAGAAAACCAGAAAAAACTCCGTCTACTTAAAAAGACCAACTAATTAGTCTGTAAACTTCTTTCAACCTCCTTTGCCTTGAGCTTATCAAAAGATTGAGCAGATACAGAAATCCCACAATTTGCTGCTATATCTTCAAAAACTTCTTTATTCAGAGAATTTAAAGGCAAACCAACAGACGAAGAGGATTGTTTAGATTTACCTTTTTTAGAAGGCCTGATAATCTTCTTAGCTGAAATTGCCTGATTTAAGAAGCTCCTATGTTTATGATTCAACGTGGTCCGTCTTACACGAGCAACCGATGATGAGGAGATTTTTTTAGAGAACCCAGGTGGAACTGAAGAAGAGCTTTGAATAGCAGGTGTTTGATTAGAATTTGGCGGGAAAGATGTAGATGATGAAATTGAATTAGAAGCTCCTTTATTTCCGCCAAAATATGCTTCCCACGTTGATTTCTCAATATAAATGATTTTGTCTTTCCAAGAATGTTTAATCAAATCAAATGGAAGATCTTGATGAGGTTCTGATGTTGATTCGGTATCAGCAAGAATTTCAGCTTCCTTGATTGGGTCCTGAATAACCGCATTAACACGCTCCAATTGACCTGGCTCCTGAGAATCAATCTCCATAACAGATGTGGTATTTTTTTGAATGATTTCCTTGAATTTCTCTAGAGAAGATCCCTTATATTCCGCCACGTTTGAATTTTGAATCATGACCTGCTTTCCCTTATCAACTTCCTTATTTGCTTGCTTATTTTGATCAATCAACGTTGCATTCTTGATTTGCTCTGCTATTGGCATAGAAATTTGACCCTCCCATTTAGAGTCTAAAACAACGTCACCCTGCGCTTGCATTGCTGATAGTTGTGTATCAATAACTTCTGAACCCAATTGACCAGCTCCGATTGGGATTAGCTCTAAAGAAACTTCTCTTGTAAAAGAATCTATTTGAGATATGTATGAACAAACAACTGTTTTCGGAATACAATCAGCAGATTTGACTTTAACCAGGATGCGCACATCCTGACCATTAAGCTTGTCTGTTATATTTTTGCATCCTCTGACTAGCTCACCAAATGATTCAACGATCTTCTCTAAAATATCAATGGACCAAAAATGTAAAGGCAAATTTTTTATTTTTAACCACTGATAGAAGGCAGAATCAACTTTCTTCATACCTACGTTTTCATTCCATGGGGCAAACCATCCCTTAAAAGCATCGAAATTAAGAGCTTTTTCTTCAACAGACTCTGATAGTTGGAAAAGAGAAGGGAATTCCACAAGGTATCTATTGTTAACAAGTGGAATTACTTTGCCATGCCATGTAGACCAATTGAAAAACGAAGATAGTCTGACCTTAATAAGCTCTAAGGACGGTGAACCCTCTGTAATAGTAAGAATAGCAAAGGTGGCAAGAACTTTAGAATTGTTGCAAAGGGTTTGCGAAGCAGAAAGATCTACCTTCTTCTCTGAGGGTCTGAGATGTGATCTGCAATTTTTAGCAATGTGGCCTTCCTCATGGCAATTAAAACAGATAAAAGCTCCCTTCGGACAAAATTTAACAGAATGACGATCATCACCACAATTAAAGCAACGACGGGATTGCTTGGGATCCATGTAATCCGCCGGGAAAGGTTGACGCCACAGTTTATTATCCATCTTCTTCACTTTCTTTTTGTAAGAGACTGTTTTCCAGCCTTGATCAGAATTCTCCGCCTGTTTAGAAAGCCCTAGACTGTTTTGAAAGGATGAGAAGGACGAAAAAGTAGGGGTTTCTTTGGATTTTGGCGGTTGTCAAAAAGATCAACGAAACGACATGAGAAGGGATTAGGATGTGGCTGACGCTTCGTGATGGGTGCAGGAGCATAGGGAAGCTCAGAAACTGGTTTTTTAAAAATTCTAGAAATAACATACCCCTTGTGTGCATCTTGAATGACTTGTCTTTGAGGAGATGATGCAAGAACACCTTTGTAGATTGGAGGACATACCTGAGGAACATTGATCTTAGAGTTTACCCCCCCCTGCCTTGATCTGAGTGAACGCTCCTGTCTTCGCCGAATTAGCCGCCATGTGTATAGATAATACATGGGCTAGAACAGGCAAATACTGGACATGTGTGTGTGTAATCTTAGCATTAGCAATTGAGGCTCTTTCCTCACCATAAAACCATAGGGAGCCTACCCGTCTCCTCAAAAATTTTAACAATTTTAAAAATAAAAAAATATTTAATTACGAGATCTATTTGCAAAAATAGAACTACCAAAGGCCTCTACGCAATTGAGTGGAATTACAGGAAGTTTGTTTGCAATTAACCCTTAAAAATAAGGGTATTGTCATATATACCCCTTAAATCATGAGTTTTTACAACAATACCCTCCAAATCTTAGTATTTGCAATACTATCCTTCAAATCATCAATTAAAAAAAAACCCTAAAAGCAACAAATCATCAACTTGGTGCTAAATATTTGACTATTCATGTTTATAATTTTTACATTACGATTATAAATTAGCTTATGAAAGTAGATGATTAAGTGTTTTGAGGATAGCTTTTCCCAAAATTGATGATTTAAGACGTAGTTTTACAAATACTGAGATTTAGAGTGTATTTTTGCAAATAACCATAATTTAAGAGTTATATATGCAAATAACCCTAGAAATAAATGCAGAGCAAGGGAAACAATAATATATACATACTAGTTGTTACCCTTATGATACATATGGTTTAAATTAATATTCTTGTATGTATATTAGCATTTTGGGGAAGCAAAGAAGACAAAAAGTAAGACTTTTGAAAAGTGAGAATAAAATGAATGATTTATAAAGAATTTAAAGGCAAAGAATAAAAATTCCCAAGATGTGGAGGACAGTGGATTAGGATAAAATGGTTGAAATGAAGAAATTTAGTTATATTAAAATTTAGAGGTGAATTGTAGATAACCCCCCTCAACTTTCAAAATATGATCCCGCACCTTTTCTCACTTAGCCCCCTAAGCTAATATAATTAATATCTAAAGGAACAATTTAAAATGACCATATTATTCCTAAGCATAGGAGGATCTATATGGAGCAAAGTGGGGTCACTTGAACCCAATTTGTTGCATAATGTCCATATACTATATAATACACCTCCATTAAATCCCACCCCCACTTAAAAAACTGGACACTAAAAATCTCATGTGATCCCCTAAGTTTTATCCTTCGTTTCTAACAAATCCTTAATCTTTCTTCTTTTAACGACAACACTTCGAAGTTTTACTCTTTTCTTCTAAAGGATTGAACTTCTTTTTCTTGACAAGGAAATCTCTAAAATTTACCCATCTCATCTAAGAAATGTTGGATTTAATCTAATAAATCTATTTGTGGGCACATATGATTAATCAATGTGTATTGCTATCCTTCAGGATAACCCACTAAAGTGATCAATTAATTTGGGTTAATGGGTATTTAAATAAGTCATGGGGTTATATGTGCAGATACCAGGTTGTAATTATGATTTTAATGGGTATTTAAATAAGTCATGGGGTTATATGTGCAGATACCAGGTTGTAATTATGATTTGATGAGGGACCAAATTGCAAATGTACAACATCTATAAATAAGGGGTTATGGTCCCTAATCTAGTGTAACATTCTCTAATTCTCTTCACCCCCATCTAGAGAGAAATTTGGCTAGATAAACCCTAAGGTTAGAAGATCCAAAACCCATCTCAAGTTTCATCTATGGATTCAGGTATAAGCTTCCGCTCTTTTGATTCTTGTTAATCTCTTCGAATTAATCATAACTTTATGGTTTAGATCTCAAGTTTTTATTAGATCTAACAAGTGGTATCAGAGCCACCTTGATTTGTTCTAAGAGATTAAGATTAAAATTAGGGTTTTTGATCTTAATTGTTTTGGATTCAGTTTTTTGTTCACGGATGAACAGTAATGGCTGTTGAAAAAATTTTCGGGTGAACAGTAATGTGTTTTTTCGGGTGAACAGTAAATAAAAAATCATCGGTGAACAGTAAAATTTTTTAAATTTTTGGGCTTTCTTCGGTTTTTCTTGGATCTGGATCAAGAAAACTCTTTTTTCGATTCTGGATCTGATTTTGAAATAAAATCAAGAAATTTTGGATCTATTTGGTTTTTTGGTCATCGGTCCCGTGCTCCTCGTCGGCGCAGCGTCGCTGGCGGCCTCGCTCTTGACTCCGACAGCGACGGCGGCGTTAGGAAACCCTAGGGTTTCGACCTCTTGGGTGCCGGAGCAATGGCGGCGGCGGTTTCAGTTTGAAACCCTAAGGGTTCGTGCGTGAAAATGTGGTGAAAATTAAGGAGGTGGTTACCTATTTTGGCGAGGCTTGAAAGCTTCAAACGAACTTCACGTTCGTTCTCAGGTTGAGCCTCGCGCTCAATTTCAAACGAACTCCGCATTCGTTCTCAGGTGAGCTTCGCGCTCAATTCAGACGAACTTCGCGTTCGTTCTCAGGTTGAGCCTCGCGCTCAATTTCAAACGAACTTCGCGTTCGTTCTCAGGTGAGCTTCGCGCTCAATTCAGACGAACTTCGCGTTCATTCTCAGGTTGAGCCTCGCGCTCAATTTCAAACGAACCTCGCGTTCGTTCTCAAGTTGAACCATGTGTTCATATTCAGTCGAACCTCGCGTTCATTTTTCAAACGAATCTCACGTTCGTTCTCAAGTTGAACATCACGTTCATTTTCAGACGAACCTCGTGTTCGTGCTTAAGTGAGTCTTGTACTCAATACAGTCGAACCTCGCGTTCGAAGTCAAGCGAACTTCATGTTCACTATGGTTAAGCCTCGGCATTTCATGGGTCCACTTTGGTATACTTAATTTATTCAATTAAGTTGTGGGCCCTAATTAAGCTATGAGACCCCAATTAAGTTTTTTGGAAATTCAGTTGATTTAAATTAAAACCTTTTAATTTAAATCTAATTTGGTTTTTAATCAATTATTTAATTCAAATATTATGACACTAAGGTATTAAGGTTGTCTCTCACTCCAATTGATTAATTAAAACAAGAAGTTGCCAAAGTAACCTCTCTTGTGTAGATTGTTCATGAGGAATGTGAGATGTTTGTGTGTATGCTTTCGTGTAAATATTTAATCGGCCCAAAGAAAGGTTAATATTTATTTAGACTGTATACACATCTGCGATGATAAGCGTGTGACAATTATAAGGTTTACATGTGAATAATGAATCGATCCAAAGATAGTTTCATTATTTGACATGAGTTGTTGTCAATGTTTGATCATTGCAACAAGGTATCACTTACAAGTTAATATTACTGTCCAAAGACTTGATATTAATGTTGTACCAGATATCTTGGATGGGATTCGTCATTATTTAAATTTTATTGATTAATAATTATGGTTATTGATGTGAGCATTTTTTGTTTTATTTCAGCTAATGCATCTGCTGCAATAATTTCTGCTAACATCAACTCAATTCCCATGCTAAATGGGACAAATTTCAACGTTTGGAAAGAGAACATATTAATTGTTCTTGGCTGCATGGATCTTGATTATGCATTAAGAACTGAACAACCCCAACCTCTCAATGCGGATAGCACTCCTGATGCAAAGAAGGAGCATGAGAAGTGGGAGCGTTCAAATCGCATGAGTCTTATGATCATTAAGCGCGGCGTTCCGGAAGCCTTCAGGGGCATAGAATCCGAAGGGATTACTAAGGCTAAAGATTTCCTTGCCGAAATTGAGAAGCGTTTTGCGAAAAACGATAAGGTAGAAACAAGCACGCTCTTAGCTCGCTTGATTTTAATGAAGTATAAGGGCAAAGGAAATATCAGGGAGTACATTATGGAAATGTCTCATATTGCTTCAAAGCTTAAGGCACTTAAACTCGATCTTTGTAATGAGTTATTGGTGCATCTGGTTTTGTTGTCTCTTCCTGCATAATTCAATCAGTTTAAGGTCAGTTATAACTGCCAAAAGGAGAAATGGACTCTAAATGAGCTTATTTCATACTGTGTACAAGAAGAAGACATGTTGAAGCAAGATAAGACAGAAAGTGCTCATTTGGCCTATGCCTCTAAGGATAAGGGCAAGAAAAGGAAGAATGATAAGGAAGCTGCTAAGGGTCCAGTTGAGAAGAAACAACATAAGGATAATCAGGGTTGTTTCTTCTGTAAGAAGCCTGGACATGTAAAGAAGGACTGTACAAAATATCACGCCTGGCGTGATAATAAGGGTACGTTCCTTGCTTTGGTCTGTTCTGAGGTTAATTTAGCTTCAGTACCTAGAAACACTTGGTGGTTAGACTCTGGTGCTACTACTCACATAAGTGTTTCTATGCAGGGTTGCCTGAGCTACCGAAAGCCAAGTGATGTTGAAAGACACATCTTTGTGGGCGACGGACAATCGGTAGATGTGGAAGCAATTGGGCACTTTAGGTTGTTGTTAGGAACTGGTTCTTATTTGGATTTGAAAGATACTTTTGTAGTACCATCTTTTAGACGGAATTTAATTTCTGTTTCTGTATTGGACAAATCAGGTTATTCTTGTTCATTTGGAAACAGTCATTCAGTTTATCTTTTAATTCAAATGTTGTGGGAACCGGTTACTTGAGTACTTATGACAACTTATATTTGTTTGATACAATTGCTTCTTATAATGAATCCTTGCATGTGGAATCACGTGGTACTAAGCGTAAATTAAATAAAGAAAATTCAGCGACATTATGGCATAAGCGCTTGGGTCATATCTCAAAAGGTAGAGTTGAGCGTCTTGTGTCTGATGGTATTTTGGATTCCCTTGATTTTTCAGATTTTAACGTATGCATGATTAGGTGCCAACAGATCTTCGGATGTCTTAGAATTGATACATACGGATATTTGTGGGCCATTCCCTACGGAATCCTGGAATGGTCAACAATATTTTATATAATTCATAGACGATTACTCACGTTATGGGCACCTATATCTTATTCATGAAAAATCTGAGTCTCTGGACATGTTCAAAGCCTATAAAGCTGAAGTTGAGAATCAACTCAACAGAAGAATTAAAACCGTTAGATCTGATCGTGGTGGTGAGTACTACGGTAGATATGATGGTTCATGTGAACAACGTCCAAGACCATTTGCTAGATACCTAGAG